CTGCATTGTTCACAAACAACCAGTTGTGGTTTATTAATAGACACAAATGATCATTATCAACTTTGACATAACTATCATAAATCTCTAAAACTACCTTCTTAGTAAACAATACTTATACCTAACACTTCTGTTACCACTGCCTGTAGCAAACATTGGCTTCTTTGGGTGCACAGCCAAAGCCCACAGTTCTCCTTCGGCATGGACCTCTAACATAGGAAAATGAAGTCTGAATCTGTAATGATTTAAAGGCATGGAGGTTATTATTCTACTGATATTTTAATACCTACCTGCACAATGGTTTTTGGTTTATCCTTTTCTGTAGCAATAACTTCAAATACTTCACCAGCATTTGTACCAACAAGAATTTTTTCACCCATCCAGAATGCACTTCGCACAGACAAACCTGAACATTTGGAAAATTAAAACAAAAACTTTAATCACACTGCTAGAAAAGCTCCCTTCCTAAATTTGATCTCCTTTCTAGTAACACCCAATCATCCTGTGCAACCTAATATCAGTATGCATATTCTTCATACTTTTCTCAATACATTATCTAATGTGCTGACAAGCAGAATTTGTTCAGTCAGGGATCATATCCTTTATCCTGATGACCATAATGTGTGATTCAGGGGTGATGTTGGGAGCAAAAATTACAAGCTAGTCACTCTTAGGGGTCAAAGCACTCATATTTAACTTTATTGCATGCAGAGGAATCTTGAAAAACATTTTTAACATTGCATCACCTTCATAGCCAACAGGAGTGTTGATCATCTCTAGTTTTGTGATTGGTTTAAAACTGTTGTCCCACAGAATAACAGTTCCATCTTTGGATCCTGTTGCATATCCATCATTGTTTCCGTGCATCGTAAATATTGCTCCCTGCAATGAAAACAAAATGGAAATTGGCCAGAAGTTTCTCTTGCTTGAAATTAAATGAATACAAGTGAACTGGAAGTGAAACCTGAGGAAGCACTGGGGATAACCTAATGACTTAACATCCCATCCAAGACCTGAAGTGATAGTCCTACTAACACAACAGAAACCTGAAAGAGTTGAAGGTTATCTGGTGAATAACCTTCAGCTGTGTCAAATGCAGACTTCTCCTCAATTGTCATTGTGATTCACACTGACTGTTCTTGTCATCAGGTCATTTGATCTTTTATTGCATTTCCCTTTGTTTCCTTAGAGTTACACACAACATACTTTTGCCACCACTGCTTATAATAGTATGCAAAATGTGCAGTGTATGGCTTGGCTCCCTTTGAAGTTCTCTATAGCTCAGCCGAAGTAAATCACATTACAAAACCAAAAGTCTGCAGTGCAATTCTTGGGAACCCAGATCCTTTTTGCTTTTGGTGTTATACTCAAAGAAAACCAAAAAGAGGAGGAAAATCACAATTTGCCATCTATCTTAATCCATCACAAAGTACATAACCAAGAAGCTTACATTATGTGCATTTGGAATAGTTCCAGACAAGTTGTGACCTTTCCATTTGTAGATCTCTCCACTCAGAGTGCCAGAGTATGTTACATCATTAGGACCAAATGCTAAACACAGATTTGTTTGAATCTCGCCAGCTTTACCAAAGACTCCTGAAAGAATATTCAATTAAACACTGTTAACATAGAGCAGAGTCACCACATCTACACAAGCACAAAACCACCCACAAAACAGTTGTTATTTTTATTTTAAAAAAATTCAACCTTTTTTAGGATTGAGAGCATTTCCACACAAGGTCCAAAACTTGATATGTTTCACACCACAGCTCACCAGCAAGTTTTCTTGGTAAGGGTTAAACTGAATGTCAAAGATCTGCAAACCAGAGAACAAGAAAATAACAATTATCACCTGTGATGAAGTAGTACCCCACCCTAGGGAATAGATATTAACAAAGCATGCATTAAATAGATATTTATGATAGATATTTATTAATGAGGGTCAAAATGCCAAGTTGGCTATAGTCATCTCTTATCCAACAAGTGTGAGTGGAGTAATTGGTCTATTAAAGTGCCCAAAAATATACATGTAGATAAATCTTCCCAACTTATTTTTGTAAGAGCAAATGGAATAAAGATGTTTTTTGTCTTGTCATGCGTGTGGAACAAAAAAAAATTCTGAGTCCCCATGAGGAATTGAACCTCAGACCTTCAGATTCCATACTCCGATGTTCTACCCCTGAGCCACAGAGACTCAACAGTGAGCAAGGTCTATCACCAAGTTCATATGACACGTGTCCTACATACTGCTGGGATCAGCAATGTCGATAGCATCATGGGGAATTTTTTCCTTTGTCCCACACTTGTGACAAGATGAAAAAGATCTTTCTCTATTTTTTTACCAAGCTCAAAACTTACCATCTCTCTTATTTTACTTAAAATAAATGGAATGTTACAATGACTAAAACAATTACGCTTTAACTTGTCTTCATCCATACACATGGTATACTGGCACAACCCATGTTGGCTAAGCTATTGAAAACTCTAAGCTGATGAAAACTCTACTTTATAATCAAAAGCAAAACTTCACTACTCATCAAAGACATTGGGACAAACTTTGACAATAATTATGGGTTTTTTGTCATAATATGTGCAAGACCTGAACTGTTTTCACTGGTAAAAATAGATTACATCTTCTTACTCGATCAGTGTGTCCTCTGACAGATGCCAAGGATCTCCCCTTTCTCCAGTCCCAAACAGCTATCAGGTGGTAGTCTTCTAAACCCACTGACACAAGAAGCTGTTCAAATGAGCAATTAAAGCATATTAAAGACAAACATTGGAATAAGCAACAGCTTGTAGCATATCTGTCTTCTTGCACATAGTGTAATTATTGATAATTAGTTTATACAAGACTGTGAGCTGTGAAAATTAATAATTGTGCAAGGTAATAACACTATATGCCAAGAATGCAGAAATGTGTCTTTTCTCTCCAATGCATATCAGCATTGCCTGTACAGTGTAACTTAACCATACAAGCAGTTTCATAAGCATCACAATTCAACTTATGACCACCCTTGAAAAACCTACTTTGAACTTCTATACAAACTTTGTATTTAGAGTACTTTCCCAATACATATATTGAGCATCCTCCAACACTTTCAGTGTTTACAATACAAATATTTCAATTTTATAGCAGTTCCACTTAGTGAACACAAAATGAAAGAAAATCTCCTCATATTCTGAATCATATTTTTATCAGTCAGCTTTACATTGGTATTTACCACAGGCAATTTTATAGTTAACTGAGTGTCTGTTTTGTTTTCAAATATAACCAGTTACACTTAAAAACACCACTTGGGCAAGCAAGCTCTTATGCAGTTACCCAACCTCTGTGAATCACAGAATGGTACACATATTGCTAGTTCTTATATAAGAAATCAGCTAGAGTTTCAGATACCTTTTTAGCATCTACAGTGTGCCCCCTTGTGTGAACCTCCTCTAACAAGAATTACCTAACCCTTTAATCTCTTAGAATGACTAGCATCTAATTTCTCCCTACAATATCACTCCTGGGTTACACATTAAGGTCATAAGAACAAAGGAAATGATCACCAACAAAAGGAAGGGTTAAAGAAAAATACCAGTTGACTTACTGTGCCAGTATTGTTGAACGCCAAACAGGTAACTCCTCGTTGATGAGCATCCTTCAATATGGAAACTGTCTGACATGTTTTTGAATCCCAAACACAGACATATGGGTCCTTGCCGACCTGTCCAGTTGCTACCAATTGTCTCTCAGGATGTAATGCCAAACTGTCAACAAAAACAAAAATTCCTCTCTATTTACGTGCAAAAGAAAAAGTCTGCACTTGAACCAAGATGCCCATGTAGTAGGAGTTCCACCCAATTTCTGAAACACGAAGTGAAAAGCAGTATTGTGCCACCCCCCACCCCCCTTTGGTAGGCAGGAGCAAGTGAATCACAAGGTTGCCTCCAGCATTTTGTCTGTCACTGGGACAGTTTGCTGGTACTCATGTCTACTTCTAGGTGGAGAGAGGCACTAGAATAGCAAAGCATCTTTAACCGAAGAGCACAACAAAATGACCCAGCTGAAGCTAGAAACCAGACCTCTCAACCAAGAGTCCAGTATGCAATCCATTAGGCTGCCATGTCTCCCGCCTTTAAACTCATATACTGGGAACATATTTTAAAACAAAATGGGTGATAAAACCTTGTTTTAATTACTAAGGCAATTATGATTTTTAAATTATTAAAGTGAAATAGCCCAAGGCAAAAACCTTTGAAGACTCCTGCCTCAAGTGTCTGAAAGGGTTTTATTTTTTACAGAAACCTTGGACATCATCAGACCCAGGTGAAGCCACTGTAAACAGTTTTAATGGCCAATATTTTCACCTGTTGGGAGCATCTGTAAAGTACATAACAGACCCATATCAAAAGTGGAAACCCCAAATTAATTATTCATTATAAAGAAAATGAACCTCATGGCGAAAAAAGGTTATAATCCTAATATTTTATACTGAAAATATAAAAAGAAAAGCCAGACCCAAATTTTTCATACAATTACTTGAATAAACCATTTAAACCCCAACATCAGTATGCATATTATCCATACTGTTTTCTATACATTTCCTTGGACACAGATAAGGAGAATTTGTCTAATAATCAAGGGCTGTATTTGCTGAGCATTTCCTTTATTCTCATTACCTAATGTGTGATTCATAGGTTTTATTGTGAGGAGGAAACATATGGCAGTTGGTCTTAAGGATCTGAGGGTTAAGCTTAAGACCAGCGTAGAATACAATTTCATGTCTGTGATCTACTTGTCCTTTTTCTTGTTTTCGTGTTACAAAGGACATTTTGGGGAAACAACAGAGTGGTTGGTAAGATTAAGAAACAAAGATCCTCATTTGAGAGCTAGTATAGCTGCCTATAAAGTTTTTAATTAGGTGGTCCTCATCAATTTTCCATTGCCACATGGCAGAGGGTCTAATTTGAATATTAACAATATGGGTAAAACACATTTGGCACATTTACTGCCATTCTAATGGATATCAAATGATAGCAAATAACAGACTTCAGTCAAGCTTGTATTTCAAAGTCAGGGAGGTATTTCAATTTTTTTCCATGCTTCAATTTTAAAGTTACGGTTTTTTCCTATATACATGTATGAGAGGCAATATTGTAGAAAAATCAGCTACTATTAAATCAGGACCTAACAACAATATAATTACAGTTCAAAACGTGTCTTTTCAGACACAGCATGTTATTTGAAGTTAATTTCAAAATGTCACACTACTTTCCAAGCTTAAGTATTTAATAGACAATGTCGTTCTTTAGTCATGTCTCTCTCACTTCCTAAATAATCAAGTAATATTTTTGGTAGTTGGCCCGTCCATTTGAAAACAGTCTTCCAATGACAAACAATCTAAATGTACAAAAAACGCACGCCAGAAGCTTCGAGTTTGACAAAATTTACATATAGACACTTTGAATTGTAAATTCGTCTGCTTACTAGAAAATCAATAATTGAGCATTTTATTGATCGCGCGCTTTAAATATTCAAACAAAAATATAGGGTGTGACAGTTCTGCTGCTACATTTTCTAGAGCGTAAACGCACGAAAAAATTCGTCGAGGGAATAAAATTCAGTACTTGAAAACACTGGAAAAGTTTCTGAGATTTGGTCGTGATCGAAAGTCAATTTCCCAGTATGGAGTCATATGAAAATAATAAAATTGAAGTTCCACTTCGATTTCCTCACTAATTGATAAGGTGCTGTTCACAGATCACCCGGACCTTCAATGCAAAAACGGATGATAAAAGCAAAAAATAAGCTGGTTGTACAATTTAGGCTTCAACTTGTACCTTTGAAATAAAAACCGAAATTAATAAATATTTCGCTTTGCATCACTGATCAAGCGCACGATCTGTTTGGCTTGGAAATATTTTCAACAATTATAAAAAATTCCCGAGATCTATAAAATTCAAAGCACAAAGAATCCATAACAAAACGAAATAAAACAAATTAATCGCGGTCAAAATCGAACAAGACTTGTAGGCAACTTGTACTCAATGGGTTCACACGGCAACACATGTCAACATACACACACGATATACATGTGTATGAATTATGCTCTAAGACTGCAAATACCTCAAGTAAATGTGTCTTTCACTACCGCTGTAAACGGAACACCGCACGGTGTTCCCTTATAAAGTTAAACATCACAAACCTAATAATATCATCGTTGTGTCCGAGAAAGAATCGCTGAGAGTTTTCCCTAGTGTTATAAACCACACCGACTCCTGCCACGAAGTACACGATCTCTTTCGACGAGGTGTAGTAGAGATTGTTGCGGCATTGATGTCCTCTGTAACCGTATACCCATTCTAGTTTTAGCGACGAGCTTGGAGCAGTTCTATCTGTCATTTTATCTCACAATGCTGCTAGACCGTGCCATCCGTTCGCAACCAAACCACGCGCCAAAACTTCATTCTTGACTTCCTTTCCGCGTTACGGTGGCCTTTCTAGAACTTGAAACTAAGGCGTATTTTGATTGGTCAATTGTAATATCAAAATCAATTTCATTGGATGATCACAAAAACTAACAGACCTATCGTAACTCGAGGTCACTTGAATTTGAGATATCTTCATCTCGAAGATGGTAAGGATCTGTGGACAAATAAACTAAATAACGCTAACCTTCATTGAACTGTACTCTGAGTCAACGTCAAAAAAAAAACCGAGGATTTAAAAAATAAAGTTGACTCCGTAAGGCCTTTTTCGGAGCACACAGTTCGAGGTTTAATCATAGAAAGCCCATACAGGCACTTAGTATCGTAAACTTCATAACAACAAACGAGGGTCTTGTCACTTGTCTTCTCTGAGTTATGAAATAGCTTGAAATCGCTAATTTAGGACATATTAGTCGCAAACAACACATTAGGGAAGTAAATAGGCCACTATTTATTTTATGAAGTTTTCGACTCTAAGTTCCTCTATCGCCTGTATTGGGCTTCCTGTGTTTTAAGGAGCAAGCAAGAAGTGGAGTAATTTTTAGGGGTTTTCCTTCATAGGGCAGAATTTTTAGAGTACTTTGGTCCTAGAGGTCACGAATTCAAACCTTCGGCGCCAACCACTGTCCCAAATCCCCTAACATGGGCCCATCAACCCCCCCCCCCCCCTTCAAACGCGCCAACTCCACACCCTGGGGAAGTTTAAGAAAATTGGACGAGAAAAAACGACGTTCAGAGTATTTATTAAAGTTCCAAAACAATTTTAGGTACCCTATTACCATGGAGCATCGCGATGGGCAAATTATAGGAAAGGGAATAGGTAAACTGCTTAGAGGACGGGAAAATATAACTAACTTGCAATTGGTATTGGGTTTAGATCTGATCTGATTAGCTGCGAGGGTGACGCGAATATTATTCGTCATCGATCTCGGTCTCGGAGCAAAATGATGGAAAGCATTGCAATCCCAGGTAAAATAACGGTTCAGAAAAGCTAGCTTTTGTAAATCAAAACAACTCATTTCCAAACAATATTACCTTGGAAGCTTGGGAATTCGAAATTTTAAGCAGCACAAAAAATATGAATTGAGAACCATGCTTTAAACCTAAATCTCGCAAAGAATATTGGAAATAAGTAATTCACTCTTACATCTACCGCATTTTCCGAGGTGTGGGCATAAAAGAAGCACAATACGAATCATCGACCTCTCCTGGGAAAAAAACGTCCCTTTTCCCATTATTAACGATACGCATGTTTTGAATTAAGAACATACTTTAGTACGCACTGAAACGTAAAGTATCATCCATTTTTACTAAGAAGGTCAAGGATGATGTTTTCACTCAGTTTTGTTAGGGGGTCCATATCCGCTAACGGATTTGGACCGGGCTGTCCAAATCCGCTGGGACACCGGGACAGCGGTGGGTTTCGATTGACTCGCATTTTGCCTTAATCTACGATGCGGAACGAAAAAATTTGAGATGATTTTTGTTTGTTTATTTTTTTGCTACATCGAATAGATAAGGGGACATTAATTAGGCTTGGTTTTCTTTTCTTTCTAATATAATAATCTATATTATACTATAATGATCATTACAAGCCTCTGCTGTCTTGAATTAAAAAATGTCTTAAGACAGGTTCAACCGACAATCCTTTTTTTTTTCATGACTGTTATCGATATCTTGCATTTTCAACTTTTACTGATACGTCTCCTAACATAAAAGTGTACTTAACTGACATTAAATGACACTGCTTTTTAACATACATAGAGCAGTTTAGAAAAATTTAACATGCAAGAACAACCTTTTCTCCTATCTATTAATTTTCTGTATCCTTTTTTTTAAAAATTTTCTAATTCAATTTGAATAGAGAAAACAGGAAAAGGTTTCGTTCAGGAAATACATAGAACTTCTTACAGAAAACCTTAGCTATCAAAATGTAAACCACGGTCACGTTATTAACCCTTGAACTCCCAAGATCTGATTGTAAATTCTCCCTTCTGGCTGCACCACATCTCCTTGTAAATTAATTACAAGAATTTGTAGTAAGATCGAGATAACAACTTCTGCCTGATAAGTTTGAATATTCTCACTACCTGTTTGCTGAATAATGTATGGATATTATAGGGAGAAGTTACATGTTAATCACTTCCGGGAGTTAAAGAGTTAAAGCACCAACACAAATTACGATTTTGGATGACCCTGATATTTTAATATGTGACTGAATGTTGATCGAGTAATACCGAACATGGCGGTACATCGAGGAGCTATTGCTTTCTCGTGTAAATTGCTTCCTTTTTCATTCCCTTTTGCTAATGCGACTCCGCTGTTTTAGCAGGTGACAGGTGATGCTCAAAAGGTCGTGTCCAACTGATGGAAAGGAAACATAAAGTTACAGAACATAATGAGTATTGTAGCTTGATAGAATTCCATCACTTCTTGCAGAACAAAGGAAAAGCCGCAAAAGCCATGGTTTTACACTGTTTGTGTATAAAAACTGCCAAACTTCCGACTGATCCGTCATCTTAGTAACCCGATAAAACTTTTAAGAGACAGGTGAGCATGTAAATATACTCATAACGTTTCAGACCTTTATCATTCGTACAAAAGAGATGGTGTCTGATCGTCCTGCATACGGGACGAAGTAAAGCGCGCTTTTTATTTGATTCTACCGCTAAAACTAGTTTAATTGTGAAAATTATCGGTTTTAGCATAAATTTTAAATATTCAATGTCCTTACAGAGATATCTGCTCGCTCTAGTGACCAATAGGTAGCAACATCTGATGGCATAGTGACCTCTGTCTGTGTACCAAGGTCACACTTGATTTTTGGGTGGCACTGACGATTTTTGCTTTTCTTTAAGTGTAACTCATGGAATTCTGTTGTATTTGCATCATCTCTACCGACGTCTCCTCGAGATAGATTGAAACTCATTGCTCCACTCTCTTTTGCGCAGGCACTAATGGAAGGTTTTCCCATCATACCTGTTTGAAGCTGTGCTTTAAGCATGTTCTTTCCGACCATACCGCGAATTTCCCCCTGCAAATCATTGAGAGGAAGAACCAACGCCAAGCAACAGGAAAAGGACCACTGCGGGTTCTTGCGCCACTCTTTCAAATACTGATGTAAGTACACACAGTATTGAACTGATGGTAAAGTAAATAGGTTTCAAATCATAAGAATTTTCTTAGCGTTGTTTTTTTCTGATAATAAAGGTTGTTCAGCTCAGTAGCATTTCACCAAAGTAATCCACACCCCATAGGCCAATCTACCCCAAAAATATTAGGGTATACATATAATCACTCTCTAAACTGCTAAATCTCCCCGTGTGAGTAAAACAAATTGAATTAGCATCCATTTAGTGGAATTTTATCTTTTCCCGCTTCTCCTTCTGCCATAGAACATTCTTGCCAACAGCAAAAATGAATTATGTCACATATCAAGCACTGAAGTAACCCATCGTGTGATATCTGCACGGAATTCCTATCACATAAAAGTCATGAACTATTTCAAACTGTTCCGGTTGACATTTTAGGAAGTTATTTAAGATATTAGAACGCAGGCAGGCTTACTCCTTGCGTTAGCATAAATTTAACCTATAGAGTTAATTATATATCTTCCGTTCATAACTTTCCTCGCAAAGTCAAATACAAAAGAATAGATAATAATAATTCCAAGGGTGTCGAAATACTTTGATCGGAAAGCTTGGTCGTGAATGGCCATTTTAGCGTCCACGTGGAGGTTTGAAAAAACAAGAAGCAAGAGCGGGTTTGATTTAAGTATTTTGCTCAAATTTTTCATAAACAATTTATCAGTACTTACCAACAAGAAGGCCAATTACAAGAGTATTTGCACCAAGAATCAGTATCTTCATTGTTAAAGCATCCATGTCTTTATCCACTGTGTCAGATATATTCTCTGCTGGAATTTTGCTAACGGCACCGATACCCAAGTTGACAACTGTAACGGAAAGGGAGGTCGTCATTAATCTGTTTTCGAATGGGTCCTGTATGGGTTTCATCCAGGAGAAATGAATTCCGTACACACCAGCTGCGACCCATGCCAGACCAATGTAGGACCTGCTTTCATGACCCACAAGAATAAGGCCAGATGTTAAAATCACTTTTCGAGACATTTCAATCAGCTCCCAGTACCACGTATGTGGTTTGTAGTTTCCGAAAAGAAACCGTAGTCCTTCAACAAGTTCCGTGCCAACGCCTGAACCGTCACCGTCTGCCTTGGTTGGCATTGCTCGCCGATGCCTCCAAAGGGCGATGAATGAAGCAACGGGTAGAGTTAAGACGTACGCAGTGGAAATGTATGCAACAATCAGCAGGTGGTTATATGTTGAGCCTTGGCATTTCAAGCTGTAGTCTGCTTTGAGGTACTCGTTGCACAACTCTTCATTTTTGTCTCTGCAGACTTTACGGCAAGCAAGTTGTAAAACGCTGGCTGTCTTGGAAAACGTACTCAGGTAAGTCACATAGAGGACAAAGAAGACATTTTTGTACACGACTTCTTTCATCTCTGAGATCTTGGCTGGTTTTTCTTCGTCCTCCAGGCTTTTATTTTGTAAGATGATTCTCTTACGAATACCGTAGAACACACCAGAAGCGCCAATGGCGGTTGCATTGATTGACAAGATCACAAACAAGTCTCCAAATGCATTCACGCGTAATTCTGGAAAAAGGCAGTGAGCAGGTGCTATATGAAGCAAATTTAGCTGTAGCACTTCTGAGTACTTTGCAACACCTTTTAACGGGTCTGGCCAGCTGATATAGGAGAAAACGTCCAGTAAGCCGTGGGTGACTTGGTAAAAACCGATTAAGATCTTAAGTTTGGATAAGAATGTGTCCATAAGAGTGTGACCATGGTCCATTGCAAGCTTTGCTTTCCTTTTCCATGTCAAAAGGGTAAATGTTATTAATAAAATCACAGCCATAAGAGACAACTGTCCCACGATCCACCATTTTGATGGGCATTTTTTGCAACTGTGGAATTGCTTGTGGTATCCTGAGCTGCATACGGCGCATATTGGTCCCTCGTATCCATCTGCACATAGTGAGTCCAATCCGCCCTCACAGGACTCTGGTACTTGGCACCTGTACGGCGTTGGAAGTGCATAAGGATACTGCACGGAATTCTTATCAAGTGCTGGTAAAGATGCATTGAGATTTTTTATAAATTCTTGATAACGACGTTTGTAAGAATCGTTACGCCATTGCCACCAATAACCAGGTTTCAAAGAGGCATATTCATCGTGGCAGACAAGTCCACCTTTGCCACATTTGCGGCATCCCTCGAACAGATGGGTTCGATAATGACCTTCCAAGCACGGACAAGCTCGGTATCCAGCGAAAAAGTCAGTCTCAGTTCCTAGTAAAGGTAAGAATGACTGCTATAGTGTTTATGTTTTCGTTCTCGTCTGAGAGCTTACCTTAAGGAAAGGGTTGACCTAAAGGCACAACGTAACACAAAGTCATAACCAAATGGCTTTTGACACTATGCAGACCTTAAAGTCATTTCTTGAAGCTAAACTTCTTCTTCCACTATCTTCTCATATTATAACGTCAACTTTGGTTTTTTTTAAAGGTATGAAATTGGCAGTTAGAGCTGACCTTGAGGACACGACTTGCAATCTGATACTGATTTTCCAGGTTTCTTGTCATATGCAACGTAAGAACCGTTTGGACATTTCTTACAACCTTTACTCACGAAGGCGAGGCTATCAGAATAAAAGCCACCTGAAAAGAGAAGATCACAGGAGTCATGGCTCTGACTTCCATCATCTGAGTCCAACTACTTACTAGGCCGCTGTCTGATTATGATGTATATCTTGCAAACCTGTGTTATGTTGACATCTTTGTGTAATTTTGTAGTCTGTTTAAGTTTCGTCCCATTTCTCTTTTGAAGTTATTGAAGATTCCCAGATCAAAAATTTGGTATTACATGTGGATGACGTTTTTTCATGGTGCCGGAATAGTTTCGGGCATAATGCTATAGTCAGAGCATCGAGCATAATGACTGAAAGTCTTGAGCACAAACACGTACAGTTGCGTAAAGTCACTATGATAGTACCTTTCTATAATTTTTTTGTTGAAGAGCTCTCAGACACTCTTACATTGAGTTATTAAGAGGAGTGTAATGCCAAATCATCAGCAAATTTTTGGGCATAATGCTGTGTTTTCGGGTGTGACGCTCAGAAGCGTAATGCTCGAATTTTCGAAAAGTACATCTGACTCTAATTTTCCGTCTGTACATATACGTTAGTTCCCTTCTGTTATCATGATATTCACAAATACTTGTATTTCCAGACAATTTTGGATGCCTACATTTGGGCTTGAGTAAGAGCTTTAAATATTGCATTAAGAGACTCCTTAAATGGTGTCAGGCCGAGGGGAAAATTGCCTATCATCATGGCCCAGACTGCTGAGTTAATGAAGAATCCTTTTTTGGAATTCCAGCAGTCTCGATGATGCTCTTTGGAATCAAGTACAACATACCTGGAGGACAATCTATGCATATTTCCACATTTGGTTCCAAAGTAAACAAGTTATAGTTTGAAAATGTTCCCAACGGACAGGGTAGAAATATATTGTAGTTACTGTGAGTCGTTTTTCTGAATCCGAGACGATTCAGAACCATTATCAATGTCTCCTCCTCAAAGGAGGTATCAGTTGAGGGGACTTTGATGGCTTCTTCATGTGATTCCAGAGGATTCCTGAGGGAAAATGGATGCCAAATTGAATGAATTATAGGTTTTACACAGGACGAGGTGAATATCTTGTCTCGTTAAGAGTATATCAAATTATTTCTAAATTTAAAATGTAGACTACGGGCTGCTCCTTTTAAGAGCGGATAACCGGAAAAAAATGAAAACAAATATCATGAGTGTAACGACCTTTTGTAGTCAAGGAGGTTTAGAGTCAGTCGCCCATTTTCTCTGAACGTGACTTTATGATTGGACTTTTTAGCCTCTGTATTCATGAATTGACGATATTGACAGTATTCCCAAGGTTTATGAGACTTAGAATGAGCCACGCAGCTTAGCTGCTGGGGTATGTTTAAAATCTTCATCGTTGGCGCCTAACACAACTTTCAGCGAATCTCAAATATGACTGGTGGTAAAGAAACTATGACCATTACCAAAACATGGCCTTAAGACAGATTTATCATTGCCGTAAGGAGGATTTGGAAAGAGAAGTAACGGCCGACCTTTTTCCACTTTTCCAAATATCTCGAATTAGTATGCAATGCATTTGTAAAGTTTTGTGGCTCAAATAAATTCAGATACCATAACAATTTGTATTTCATGATTAAAAAATATTTTAAACGAAACATTGTCCCACTCAATAGAAGCATGTAAGATATCTTGCACTCATTCATACTGACAGATACAAGGAGTAGTTCCTGCCTGGCGGGTAATTGTAATAAATCACTCTCACTATTCTGTTAGGCGAAATTCTGCAATGACAACACACGATCGTCTCTATTATCACCGATCAGCCTATTATAGTGCTGAATTAAAGTCGGAAAGAAAAATATTTCTTAAATGAAGGCTATTACGAGAAAAACACGAATAAACCGTTCTCGATGCATAAGTTAAAGATCACATTGCATTGCTACTTCCGGAATAAATTCATTTCCACGAAACAATTCGCATGTAAAGTGGCTTCTTAAAGATTTGATACATTTTCCTGCCTCTCGTCTTTTTCGTCTAACTAAAAAAAGTGGAAAAAACGAGCCACAGGCGAGTGTTTTTTTATTTTCGTAGTCACTTTTGTATCTTTGGTCTCTTTTTGTCTCTGTGTATCACGCATCACTGGAAGTCTAAATTGGAAAGAAACATTCATCAAAACCACTTCATTTCTACCTCTAGATTAAACTAGATACTGAGTTAACTAAAGTCGAACACTTATCTTTTGCGCTCGCATTATCGCGGTTCTAGTCTATTAAGAAAAAATTAAAGATACACCTATTTAAGAAAGACACTTACATCCGAAAATCTTGAGCATGGGTACTTGAAAAGGACTCAGACGTCAGCGTTTTCAACCTCGTTCGCAGAAGAAATCTGTCATGAAAAACCTCCAGTTTTTAATCTTGCAGGCAGTGTGGAGAATGAGAACACTGGCAGCTTACTTAACAACTTTATGTATTAGCTAACCTCATAACTGTCCCTTCGCGAAAAGAATGGGAAAACGTCTCTTGCAATAAGAAATTAAGCCACGAGAATTTAAAAACCGGTTGAATACAGCGGGTAGGCTGCAGAAGAAATGACACATAGATCTGGATGAAATATTCGAGGTTCTAGTTTGTCTCCCAGAGTTATAAATGAACTCAGCCCTTCTGACAAAAGCTTATTCTACACAAATAAGCAAACGAACAAAAGATGAACCGGGGAAGTCAAGACTGAGATAAAAAAAATCATACATCCCTTCCGTTCTTAAATAATCACAGTTAGCACCTTTTAGGATAAAAACGATTCCAACTTACATTTTAAGTTCAGGGGCATTGAGAGTAAATGCCTCTGG